CACCACAGCTTCAGAAGCAGCCTCTTTTTGCTGTACTTCGCCAGTGGTATTCACAACGGGACATGAAATGCCGAGGAGGGCTCAAAATAGCTGTGTAGCTGGCAAACCTGTCTGGATCGATTAGATTTTAGGGGGGGAGTGATATGCTGCCTTTTTCATTGAGTTTGAAGACTGGGCGCTTGACACATGTTTTTGGGGAGGGCAAGTCTGGGGGATAATGTGTCCGATTTGTGGGATTTTGCTGTTAATGTCGATGGCACTGCAGTGGTCAGACTGGGCAATTCTAAGAAGCTTAACATGATAGGGCGACGTTTATTATCATTCTAGATGGCTAATGATTCCTCCAAAGGCTGAGTAAATGCAAGGTGTTCTTTTGTGTGTAATAAATATCCACAGAAGAATCCTGCATTTTTGGATGTGCGCAGCACTATGGAAGTGAGCAGAGATTGCGGTGAATCAGAGAATTCGGAGCTCCATCCCCAATTACAATGTGCCCGGACAGGCTGGAGAGGTAGAATAAGTTGCTGCTGGGGTCAGTGAATGAGAAGTGTGGGCGCCGGGGATGGAGAAAAAGGGGACATTTGTGGAATCTTGGGGCATGAAGGTGAGCGGAAGTGGACATCGAAAGTCTAACTACCAAGGCCGTTATGGGTTTGCGCTCAAGAGGAGTATAGACCTGCTACAGACGGGTACAGGAAATCCCACGTTGTGGTTGACTGGGGGGCAGATGCTCCAACCACAATATATGCAGGGGTCGATGACTTCCTACTAGATTACTTGTTCATTTCATCCGATTTAGAGATGGTCCGTTGAGGCGGCCCCGAACGCTCCGGCAGAGAGGGGTAAATTTTGATGCAATTAGATCCCGGGAAAACTTCGATGAGACCATCGGTGTCATCTGAAACAGAGCCGCGTACCAGAATCTAGGAGGGTAACCAAAGAGATAGGAACCTCAGAAACGATAGCTAACAAAGGATTGCCAGTTTTGGGGCCAGAGTTCACCAGAGTTACGTTGGTGGAACGAAAGCGCTGAGAGGTGAGTCTACATTAATTACGCACGGGGTGGACCACTGAGTTGCTCCAGTCACCAATTGACCACCCGTTTGTGGAAGATACTGATGAGACTTGCAAGTGGGTGGTTGCTTGAATCAAAGAGGATTTCACCTCTATTTATGCGTCAACGATGGTCCGCTTACGGTGCGCGGGAGTGACATCAAGCCTGAATGACTGGTGACGATGTTCTGGTGTAGAATATAAAGGACACCAGCACATTTTCTGAGGATCCGGTGGTGAATGTTTAACCAAGAAAATATCAGTCAGTGGTAGCTGGATTTCTGAAGCTTGTAAAGTGCCAAGTCTTAGCGCAAGATGTCTTCATGTTCATGACTCCGGACAGCTTTGGATATATATTGCTTGCATGCAATCAAATTGTCCAGCTCAGCAAAGAAGCCAACGATTGTCTACGCCATCTTAGCTGCGAACATTTTCCTCCCTGTTAGATGCATTTGATTCTTGTGGAGCCCAAAACAACTAAATAGTGCTGGGATCACTGTGCACCTGTGGTTCAATGGTGCGAATAGGGTTTTAATGACTATGAAGGCTTCGTAATGATGGCGGTAATGATGGGCCAGTTCGGTGACCATGTTGTCGGTAGGGTAGCAAGTTTTGGCGGACCTCGGAATAAGAACCGGGGTGTGATCATCGTGAGAGTTGTGGAACCCAAAATTTTTGGAGCCGGTTTCGGTGACTCAGGGCCCCGATAGAAGGTTTGTTTATTTGTTCCGGGCCGCAAGGTTGGAATCCTGTTCGACTCCGACGCTGTAAGAGCTGAATGCTCCCTGTAGTTTTTCATCGATTTCTTTGTTCCTGAAAACTTCAGCGATGAAGAACTGAAATGTTCCTGTGCACCGGAAATCACGTACCTCTAAGACAACGTAGGTCAGGGTTGATGCTACCAGTGTCTTTTCCGGGGCGTTTTTGGGCACATTTGTGGAACTAGGTGGGCAAATTCATGTTTTGATGTTTCAGGACCTTAGGTCTAGTGGGATTATCTCATATTTGGGCAGTTTAGCTCTTTATTGTACTTCTTCCACGTCTGGCAACCACCATCCTTGATGCCACGGGTTAAAATAATTTTAGGATTTGGTAATATACATACTGTGTCTTGCCATTTAGTCCCACGATGCATCGATTCGCTCAGCCCATTAGTGAGGAAAATACGCTTCGTTCGACACACTTTACTTAGTTGTTCCGTCAGTGGAAAAGCCAATCCTCCGTCCTTAGTTAGGTTGTGAAGTTTCAGGCTGAAGAATATACGCTCACTTCCTGCTGTAGACCGTGGCGGTGTTAGAATGCGACGTGGCGATACTTTTAAACACAAGTAGAGTTTGTTGAAAAAGATTCGTACGTTTCCAATTTGAATACCTCTCGAAAATGACAGCAAAAATGTTGACGTAACTCTTTGGTGACCACCAATGGCAGCATGAGCCTTCCTCGGCCTCACACAGCATGGGTTGATGTGTTTGACTTTGTGACCCTCACCACCGACTGCAAAATGTTTCAGACACTTCTTTTCAAATTACGGCATGTGGTTTGCGGGTTGAAATGGCCTCATCTCGCTCGGCATCACCAGTCGAAAAATGGGATTCTTTTCTTCAATCGGTTATCAATCCCTACTTTCCATCTTCACTTTGAGCCGAGTCCCCTTTCACCGGTTTGGATGCTTGAGGTAAAAATACTGTAATAGAGTTTCAGGCATAGTTGTGCAAGTGGTTTTATAATAGATCCATATGGGAGATGGCAGATTAGCTCCCACTAAGGACCTTAATTTAATTACCATTCGCTGTCACCAAGAATTCAAAGCACATCCATGGAACTGTTCCGATAACTGGGCAACAATATACAAGGTGAACGGTAAATGGTCAGAGTTCAACGCGTGAACGTGATTCAAAACTCTCAAGTTTTATCAGTAAATCCGAACATTGAGTGTTTATGACCCGGGGAAAGGGCAATAATGACGCTGAGGATGAGCAACTCAGAGAGAAGATCGTCTGCATGGGACCCAAATTGTATCGGCTGTAGCACTGGTTTGCAGTGAAAACCATTTCCGTAGATAGCCGACCTTTTAACGTCGTCACGGGTTTTAACTCTCACCATGGACGACCGGGTGGAAACGCTAAATGGAGTACTAATTTTTTAATGAAAACGAACGCACTTTATTCCACGATCATGGTGGCGAGAAGCATGACCAGCAGAAAACAGCTACGATTTTCCCGAAAAATGCCAAACACGGTAAAACGGCACTGGAATGTATGGAGGTAATACATAAAAAAAACTCGAAATAACATGATCAAAAGCCGTGGCTGGGAAAAATTTGACACTGAGCCAATAGAACTGTTGTTAATAAAGCAGCCTACATTCATCGTGAAGAATTAGGGACAAAAATGTAAACCGACGGCTGCTGAGGTATTAGCCAGGAAAGCAGATACCGTAACGTTACCCACAAAACAATTTTAGTTGTGATCGAGGATAGCATTTTCAACGAAAACACAACATGCCCAGGGAAGTTGAATTCATTGGCTCTGTGCAAAGTGAAGGGGAAGTCGCCTACTTTGCTGCGGTTCAATGGTTCGATAACTTCTCATATTGGATAATACCGTGTGGCCAACACGAGTAAAATTAGTTAGTCACTGGACGGGACAGTCAGAAATAACGTCAATATAATCAGGAACTTAGTGGCGGGGTCTAGATCGGTGGAATGGAAATGCATTCACACTTGGTTGGTACACCTTGCTACTTAACTGCCTCCCGATCTGCATCCCATGAGTCGAAGTAAAATCACATTTGACGACATCTTGTGCCCCATTGTTCCCCTCCCATTGTACTGATTTTGCACAGCATTTAAGTTCATTAAATTCCTCTACCTAGTGACCGGTTTTCCTGTTTTTTCCTTCTGCTGCTGCGCCCCTCTCCCCTGCTTTAAGTCTACATCCGGATGAAGGAAAAGCTGTCAAATCCTCTCAAGTACCTGAATATCCATGTGCAGTAATGCGAATAAATAGGCGCTATTTGACGAGTCACCTTGTTCCAATCAAAACCAACAGCGTGTTGCCCTCCGAACTACCGGGATATGGTAGGTTTATACGACTTCAGCACTAAATCCCGAGGACGTTGGATTTGTTTGTCACTTTTATATTCTACCGATTGAAACGTGCGCATATATCCGGAGCTGCGCTCATGGCGTGGCTGGAACAAATTTGGCCCGTTGTGTCTGTTCTTGATCTGGATGGGTCGTAATGCCGGTTTGGATTTTCACCTGACCGGATACGATATCGTGAGACAGGCGTTAGAATGCTTCATGTCAATGATGTTAAAGAGTTGGTGGTATGTACATAGTTATTGCACCCTTTCGGCGATTGGGTACACCCGGCAGGGAAGTTTTCGTCTGATATATTGTACCCAATTGATATTATGTCCACAACCTTTCCAGAAGGTTAAGCAATTTACAAACGGCGTTTGATCTAAGGCTTGATTTTACGTACAGAAAGCCAAAAAACAAAAACCGTTGTTTATCGTTTTTGCCACTGACCTATTTGTCACTGCCTAAATCTGTCCTGTTATTGACATATTTCGTGGACCCTCCACTCAGTAATCTGTAACAAACAATTCGATTCAAAAAAGCTGCTGCACTCGTAAACCAATTGGGATAAATTTAAGGCAAAATGCACGA